TCATTATGTGAAATATGAAGACTTGGAGATAAATGGTAACCAAGATAATAAGCGTAAATTATATTACCATTCAAGGACCCTGTGACTTTGACCTTAAACTTAATGACCCCAATTTTACTAGGGTCATCTATCACTTATAAACAATCAATATGTGAAATATAAAGACTTTGTGATTAATACTTTTCAAGATAATCAGCGGAAACCATTCTGACATTTAAGGCCCTTGTGACCTTGATCTTTGACCTAGTGATCCCAAAATCAATTAAGGTCATCTACTAAAAATGACCAATAACTTTGTGAAATATGAAGACTTTGTGAAGAATAATTTTCAAGATAATCAGCTGAAACCATTTTGACATTTTAAGCCCCTGTGACCTTGACATTTGACCTAGTGACCCCAAAATCAATAGGGGTCACCTACTTGTTATGATTAATAATTATGTGAATTATGACAACTTTGTGATGAATACTTTTCAAGATAATCAGCGGAAACCGTTCTGACATTTAAGACCCCTGTGATCTTGAACTTTGATCTAGTGACCCCAAAATCAATAGGGGTCAGCTATTAGTTATGGCCAATCACAATGTGAAATTTGAAGACTTTGTGATAATTACTTTTCAAAATAATCAGCGGAAACCATTTTGACATTTAAGGCACCAGTGACCTTGACATTTGACCCAGTGACCCCAAAAGCGACTGGCGTCATGTACTAGTTATGACCAATCACTATGTGAAATATGAAGACTTTGTAATGAATACTTTTCAAGATAATCTGCGGAAACCATTTACATATTTAAGGCTCTTGACCTTTGACCTAGTGACCCCAAAATCAATAGGGGTTATCTACTAGTAATTACCAATCAATATGTGAAATATGAGTTCTTTGTAATGAATACTTTTCAAGTTAATCAGCGGAAACCATTTTGTTATTTAAAACCCCTGTGACCTTGACCTTTGATCTAGTGATCTTAAAATCAATAGGGGTCATCTTTAAGTTATGGCCAATCACTATGTGAAATATGAAGACTTTGTGATAAATAGTTTTCAAGATAAGTAGAAGAAACCGTGTGGTCTACCAACGGACAGACCGACAGGCCGACATTATCAAAACAATATACCCCCTCTTCTTCGAAGGGGGGTATATAAAACTAAGCTTTCATGACATACATACATACATACATTCTATTTAAATTCGCATTTAAAAACCTTTGTATTTCATCAAATGAAACAACTGAAAATGTTCAGACGTAATGGGGTATCAACTTTACAAAATATATGTCATAAATGTATACCTTCAAATTTGAACAACAAAGGGGAATTTGGAAAAACCACAAATTTATGTCAGAAATAATTAAATGAATTAATGTGAACGTAAGATAATCATATACTGGTTTCAGAAACACATTTTTTATCTTAAACGATTTGTTTAATTGAACTTAATGTATGAATATAATGTTAATGATAACTAACAGATAAGGAGACATGTTGATATTCAACCTTATTTTGAATTATTTCTACAATTAAGAATTAAGAAAAACAGCTGCAGATGTGTCCATAGCACGTTATATATCTTGGAACCTCTATATGACATCCACTCTCTTTTTATTCTGTTATATTATATACTTATAATGCATGTTTATTGGTTGAATTATGTGTACAAAAAATGTATGAATGATATTTAATATCTAAAAGGAGCGTTTGTCAAAAACGTAAATTATGATCGTTACAGGACTATATCTCAAATGGAATAGTTGTTATGTTTTATGATGTTGTTTCGTGTGTGTGTTTCAATATATTGTTCATAAGTAAAATATGTTATTTGTTTTTACGATGGTATATCTTCATGTGTTACCTTCTTTCGATACAGATAGTATTATAATCATCATCATCAGTCCATGAAAAGCGCACTTTGGTTCCGACAACAAGAGCTGACAGCAAGGTTGTGAAAATAGTTTGTCAAATAACTAAAAACCAAAAAAATTATAGATTTTTATATGTTTCGTGAGATAATTTATATACTATTGAACGATTTTGATTTGCATTGTTTCATCAACTGTTTTTATTAAAAATAACAATAAAAGTTCAGTTAAAAATGATTAATTAATTAATATTAATATGGATCAGACTCTGGTTAAAAAGCTTAATTGTTAATGCCCTCAATGTGAATTTAATATGTTTAATATTTCAGTGCATTTAAGTGCTATTTAAGCTGCAGGGTTCGGGGATAGTCTTTCCGAAATATATACGTATTCGTCAAGAAGCCGAGCTGAACCAAGGTGTATTTTAAATATATTATCCGTATTCTATATGTGACATTACGTTATTAAATTATCTAATGTTAAATCTAGTAGCAGTTCAATATACGTGGTTTACTTCAGTTTAAAACATTGTCAACAAAAATGTAGTCATTTCATCTTTTTTGTTAAAAGCCTTATGCGATGCACATTCGTAAGAATCCTGGACGTGTGTAGTAACTATTACTAAAACGTCCTGCTTTAAAAAAGATTTGAAATTTAAAAAAATAGACCTATATGAGTCTGTCAAAATAAGACATTCAATAAATTCTTTATTTGATAATCATACACTTAAACATGACAATCGAAAATTTATTGTTTATAAATGACCACAGCTGTTAATTGAATGCTTAATTTCACCATGGACATCTAGTACATGTATATAGAAATAGCGTTATATTGTTCTGCAAGAGCGAGCTATCAAAATCAGGTCTCAAAAACTGTATGACACTTTTCTTTGTTGTGTTTTTAGAGAAGAATTTTGAAAATATAAAATACTATATATGAGAAACCTTTGACTGTTTGTGATATTTTATGTTGTAATTCAGGATAAAATTGTATACTAGTATATTGTTGCGGTTCATGTCAAAGCACATACAATGATCCAATTGAAACAATGAGTTTTAGTCAATTCGCTAGTTACACCTGGCATTATTATGATATGAGATAAACGTGTGTTTATCTCTGGGATGGGACACCAGGAAGTTTCGCCCTAGACTTGTAGAACTATTTTTTTTTTTATTATTATTTTTTTTTATTATTATTATTATTTTTTTTTTTTTTTTTTTTTTAAATCTCAAAAGTTATATTTAAAATCCCTTTTAGTTTAGCAATAAATATTTAGGCGATTGATATACGATTTAAAACAAAAAAAAGAAAAACAAAGACATTTAAAACATAAACCTTTACTTGTTTTTCGTAGATTTTTACAAGGCGTAGTTTAAAAATTTGTATAGAGATACAAGATTCCAATCACAGCACATGATTTCATCTTTTTTAAGACAAAGAGTTAAAAATTTAAGTAGAGTATTGCATATGCGCACAAATAAGATAAATCTACGTACTTTGTGTCAGCATTGTTATTATTATTATTTGTTTACTTGTTTGGGTTCCTTGTGTGCAAATGACAGCATTTATATCTGACACGACATCTTGTTCATGGTATGTAGATGATTTAAATTATAACGTATGTTTTAAAATTGTTTGATACTTGAACATTGATAAAAATTTGAGAGTAGAAATCAACAAGAAAGAGTCGATTTCAAGAAACACTGTCGTATTCATATGGCGTTAATGAATAAAGAAGGTAATGAATTGAAGTATCAATATAAATTGAAACGAAACAAAATACATCAACAACATCACTTGTATTTTCAAATACTAGTACACCCTTTTGTCTCGAATCCTTAGTTTCAGCCTCAGATTGTCATATTGATTTTGAGGTTACTCTACTTTAAAGATTGTCTAAAAAATTATCTACAGAACGATTAGGAATAATTGTTTTAAAAGTAGTCAGGAGAGGTTTTTAAGACCTGCAAATGACTCTTATTGATTTTGAACTCCTAATATCTCAAAGTGTCGGCTTCACACACAAATAGCTTTACCATTTAGTGGCCTACGGCCACTTGCTTTAAAGATCCTGTAACACATTATTTTTATGGTTTTATATACAAATTATGATGCTCAAATTAAGATTTATCGATATTGTAAGTTTCAAAAAACATTATTTATAAATTTAATATTTCATGTAAATAAAGGGAGGTAATTAGAATTTAGTTTTTTATAAATTCTAAGTCAATTTTTCCAAAAAAAAATGAATGCATATAATTTAATGATTACCTTAAATATGTACAAATATTTGCAATACATATTTTACATATTTTTCCATGTTTGAAAATTGACAAATTTGCATAATTACATACCTATATATAATTCAATGAAGAGTGGTATGCAATCTCAATTACAAAACATACATGATCTTTAAGCATCTTAAATGGTCGGGTAGGAAATGACAATTTAAAGGGTCAATATACATTTGTCGGTCATAGAGGTTGTAGTTTAGTAGATTATGTTATAGGATCACAACAATAAAAGTTCTGTTCTGTTCTGTTTAAGTCTTCAGATTTGGAACTTTGTTTCGCCATGATCAACTGTGAATATTGAATCAGGACAAACAGCTTTGTCACTGTGACAATGGTCACAAAATGTGTGTCCACTTAATCACTATAGAATGATTTTATAGTGAGATTGGTGAAAACCTAATAAAGACCATTTTTACTTAGCCTGTGACCAAAGATCCAAAATACGAGTGACATATACACCGTTACTTCTTGGCCGCTTCTTCTCTTTAATGTTAATGTTATATATACGATAATTATAATGGTAATACAATAATGTATCATAAAAGTTAAGAGTCATCGATATTTTACATGGTCAAACTTGAACATAATTACTTAAAATATTGACTCTCAGCGCCGTGTTCAATATATTCAAAATTAACTTAACTATATGTATGTAATCGGACACACGTTTAGTATTTCTTTTCTTGGCTTGACATTTAACCCATGTCTATTATGTTGTTCAGCTGTTCAATATTACTTTTTGTCGGACTTTCCAGCATGAATAAATGCCAGTTTCTCACTATTTTAGTCTCAGGAGCATAACTGATTTCAAATAAACAAAATAACTCGAAAAACTTACGACCACTTTATTGAAATAAAATAATCTTAACATAATGCACACTGATATAATATCAATATATACAATAAAGTGGAATAGCTTGTAAAGTATCCATAGACCAAAACAACAACAAACAAAAAAAACAATATACAGTTTTGTAGATGTATGTACAAACTAAAATATTTGTTAAACAGAATTATGTCATATGATATTGACTAATTTAGATGCATCAAAAATATTATCTGAACAAGTTTAATGTTTCACATTTGAAGAGCATCTGCAGTATTACAGACAATGTTTATTCCATAGAAGCTGTTTTGCGCCGTATACAGCTTACGATGTATTAAGCTTACTCTTGAGTTGTATAGTTCGATCATTATAACATCGTAGACAGCTTAATCCAAATATAGCTTACTGCTACCTGTATACGTGAAGATGCTGCATACCGCCGTCTTTAGGTAGCCAATCGGTAATCATCATTATGTCCTCAAGGAAACGACTACGAGTGCGATCACATTTACGTATACGACATCTACGACAACGACAATGACTATGACCACTAGAATGAGGATTTCTACTTTGATGTTCACGAGTACAGCTACACTACTACTATCACTACTATGTCTACCTTTTACAACTACGAGTTCAGCTTTGAAGTAGACTACGACGACAACGTACAGCTACGACTTTTCCAAAGGAAAAGGACTACGACAACTACCAAGATAATGACTTACCAAACTATGCCGACGACTACAGACACGCCTTTGACTATGTCGACTTTTACGACTACAAGTCGTTATATTAGACGACGACTTCGACTTAGAATACGACTTCTTCGACTTATAGTAAACCTACGACTCCAACATCGACAGGAGCTTCTACGACAAAGAGTACGGTCACAACCGTGACTTTTACAACAAAAGAAACACTAAGGGTAATTTTCTGATCATCACTAACCTTTCTGACAAACATCAAAGCTTAATATGAAGACTGCAGCAATGGTTAAAGTGAACTTGAACCTTTGATCTACTGACCTAAACATATTCAATGTATACGTGTACGTAAGTATACGTAAACTGTATACATTGTCAACTTACGAATACATAACTGACCGTGAGCTGTGTATACATGTACGTTTTTAATCAACGTATATTATTACCTGATGCCTTATATAAATGTAATTTGGTACTTTTCTGTTATGCGTTCGCTTCATAAGCTGTATACGGTGCATCACGGCTTACTAAACGAAACATACATAAAATAAACTTCAATCTAACAACGTACGTTATAAAAAAACATAAATTAAGAGTAAAGCAAACAAAGGGACATAACCACCATGGTAAAATATGAGATACATCAACTGATTTTACATAACATATTTTTTATATAATATATACAGTTATTGCGCTTCCTGCGTAAGGTCCATGAGAGTTGGTAAAATTAACATAAAAGTAGAGTTTTAAACGAAAGAAAAATGGTTTATAGCAAATATATGACTGACTGGAAATCATCATCAAATTTCCATCCTGAAAAAGAACAAATGTATCTATAGTATATACAAGTAGTTATAAATATATCTTTCTCTATCTCAAAGGTTAGGTAAATTTTCTTTAAAGGCTACTGACATGAACGGTACTAACGATTTTACAAGCAAATTAATTAAGAATTTGTATTAGCTCCTCGAATCAATATCTCGCAGAAACGTAGAATGGTTCAAGTGTTGAAGAAACGCAGCCAAGGTACCTAAGATACGTTACTGAGATGATGTATGGAAATGACAGCTATAGGGATCACGCCATTGCTGAGATATTGCTGCAGTGATGACAGAAATCTAAAAATTACTGTTATCAGCAGGTAGGTTATAAAGTGTGTTGTTATATTCATATTACGCAAAGAAAGAAAGGTTCATTGCTCTGAACTTACTGTTTTTTTCTGGTAATTTTGGATTAGTTTCTCTAGTTACATTATTTTTTGTGGGTTAAAAGTGAAACGTACAGAATAATTCATGAAAATGATAAAATATCTCAAGTTTGAAACAAATAAAGGGATTTTGTGTTATACAAATAGACATTCATTTCTAAGGGTCGCGCACGCAAAATATCTACCCGGTGTTAAATTATGTTACAGGGCCCCAAACGAGTCTAGTCGAAGAGAAAATGTTTTCGTTGTTTGAAGAAATGTTATTTGATGGCAGTAACGCTTTAAAGCTACATGCCTCCAGGTGAGTCAAAATATTTCAATAAAATCAAACTTAAAAAAGATGTACTAACATTTTAGGAAATGTAAAAAGATTCAAGATTCAAGTAATATTTTAAATGTTCTGTGCGATTAATGACTTAGTGGCTTACATTCGGATAAAAAATCAAGAACAATGTTTTACTAATTTCTTTATTCTTTGCGTACTTTTATACAAAATTGAGGCGCCAAACTATCATTTGTAATATTTTCTTTAGATAGAAAAGATATTACTGCGATAGATGTAACTGACACGCAGTTACAGGACAAAATAAGATTCACTACTTAAGACCAACTTGCACACTAAATTTTCTATGTTTTTTTGCATGTAACCCTAAAATTTTTGTGTCATTTCACTTTTAGTAAAACCCAATTTAAACTAATTCATTTTAGTTCATTTTTGTTTTTAGAAGCTATGGGCCTCATGTACAGACCCCAAATAAAAACCCGAGTCCCCCCCAATTTCTTTTTGAAAATTTTTTGGGTGTTTAATTTGTTCCCCAAAGGGTCATTTTTTTCCCCAAAATTTTAAATTGAAAAAGCCCCCGAGAAAAAAAACCCTATACAAAGCAAAGAGGTAAAGTTTCTTGCTCATGGAAAAACAGTTTGCCCCTGACGAAGGTTTAAACCCACACAGCCAGCAATCCTTAGATTACTAGCCCGACGTGTTAATCACTTGTCCACGCCGCCTCTCGCAATCGTCAATCACTGTTGAGTTCATAGACATAAGATTTTTCTTAATATTTTATAACGGCAAATCACATTAAATTGATGGACTCTGCTCGAGCCTAATTTACTTTTAATATGTGGCAATAAAAAAGATTTTTTTCTATGCACCCACATCATTGAAAACTTTCTATCTTGAGAAAAACATTACAAATGATAGTTTAAAGGATCGTGCTAAAGATACATATATTGAGTATATAGATAGGAAGATTGAAGACTAATTGTTTTAAAAAAATTGAACCTTGTTTGACCTTAGAATATGACAACAGAAACATTTCAGCGAAATACATTGTATACAATGACAACGGTGTGTTAATATAGTTTTGTTACATTTGTCTCTGTGTAGTCGTATTTGAATTTGTTTTAATTAATTTATTCAGATTATCTGTAATAAAATTCGTTTAAGAATGGAAATTACAGTTACCAAAATTTCCTCTTCAACAACAATATCTCCGTCAATTAAGTCGTTATTGCTTATCCGAAGCTCTCTTGTCCAAATGCTTAAGTGCGCCCATACTATAGAGAAAAAGAAAACTGATGGAAATGAATTGTTTATAAAGCTAAGTTCTAAAAAACAAGGAATCATAACATAACTCTTATTACATGTTTATAACATAATGTTGTTTTTGTTTTGCTATTGTTGTTGTTGTTATTGTTGTTTTTGATCAATTATACAAACAATTTAATACCTTAAATATTGATTAAAGTTTTTTATCAACGAATTCCTTGTCATAATATTTTTTTTAAAAACAACAAACAAAAAACGTCAAGTCACCACAGACCTGGACCTGCGACGTCTTGCATCTGCCGGACAGACACTGTATGCGGACTCCATCCCCTCATCAGCATGGGCGGCTAAATGACAGTGATATAGCCAAATGCCAGGATTGTATCCAGTCATTTCAATAGTTGCAGCAACTTCAGGGAAGACTTCCGCCACATCTCTTCTTTGAGTGACTATTGTTCTACGAACGTAAAGCTGCCCATGAAAATGAACAGTATGAACGTCTTCTACTGACCCCACACCAAAAAGGTACCAAGCAATATTTTCATTCACGCAGAACTCAATAAGAGGTTGATTTCCATAGATATAGCCGTTAATAGAATGGAAGAGGTTGCTTTCAATGAAATCTCCATCACTTGCTTGTGCATCTGTGACGCCTACAAAATTTTCATCACGGAGATGGCTTAAGTTTTCATCCCATATCACGAAGGCAGATGCAAACTCCTTCACTACATTGTCTTTTCTATTCCCTGCACCATCAAGCTTGCCACGTTTGCAAATTATCATTGTTCCCAGAAGCCCACTGTAAGCATCATTTAAAGGATTTGTTCTTGAGGTATATAATGTGCCTATGCAATTAGGCTGGTCGGGAGATGGGCCGGACCTTTCCGGTATGAAATAACGATACGTGCTGGTTTGACCTTGATCAGTTGAAGGAGCATTTGTTATTGGAGTCCCGTCTTCGAAAACGAGTTGTTTTGGGACAATATTGAGAGAAACATTGACAAAATTATGAAGAACTATTTCAATAGTATCTCCAACTGCCCCTCGTATCATTGGTCCTAATAAACCTAGATGCAATTCATCAAAACTTCGGGTCTTCTGCGTAGTGAAAGTGCTGTCTGTAAATTCCCTATAGACATACTTATGATATTGGGTTCCGAGAAACGGGGCATCGTTTCTCACAAAAATGTAGCCTGTACTGAAAAGGGCAAAAAGGAAAGGTCATTAAGATATGTGTCAAAATATTTACGACTAAGTAAAATACTAGATATTAAAAAAAATTATGGTGTATTCAAACCATATCGTAATTTACATTAAAGTGCTTTCAGATTATTTACATGTTAGCAATATAATGTTAAATATAACGTATAAGTGTTAACTACAATATGTTAATATGAAAAATGTTGATGCATTTCAGGTGTTGCTATCGGCATAAAATGGGTTCGGTGATTAAAAAAAATGCAACAAACATGCCAGTGACTTTCATTAGATTATTTCAAGTCGTTTTTAAAAACGCTCTAATAAGTAGTAAACAATTCTAAAAGATGTATGTATCTATAACTAGCTTTGGGTTGTCAATACCTATGATAAATATGCAAAACTTTGACGTAAGATGAAATAATCCACAATTACGCTTATTGTGTAGAATTTTAGCATTTCAAAACCATTTTAAACTTTAAATATTCATGAGTTTTCGAAAAATTATAATGTTTTGAGATACAATTTAAAAGAAAGTTACATTCGATAGCATGCTTACATACCCAATTAAATAAATCTGTTTTAGGATATCACAAATTAACATTTAACTGCAAAGATAAACCCAGATGTTATGGTTTTACTGGTCACTATTTGTTATATACAGTATTTGTAATATTCTTACCGGTCACTTTATGCCATATATGTAATAATTTATGTGTTCAGTATATTATCAACAGTTAATGTTACAGTCATACTGGACACTTCATGTTAAATATAGTGCATATAATAGTCTAACTGGTCACTATATGTTACATACAGCATATGTTATAGTCTTAAGATCACTATATGATATATACAATGCATGTAATAATCTAACTGATCACTATATGTTATATACACTGCATGTAATAATTAACTGGTCACTATATATACACAGCATATGTAATAATCTAACTGGTCACTATATGTTATATACAATGCATGTAATAATCTAACTGGTCACTATATGTTATATACACTGCATGTAATAATTAACTGGTCACTATATATACACAGCATATGTAATAATCTAACTGGTCACTATATGTTATATACAATGCATGTAATAATCTAACTGTTCACTATATGTTATATACACTGCATGTAATGATTTTACTGGTCACTATATGTTATACACAGCATATGTAATAATCTAACTGGTCACTATATGTTATATACACTGCATGTAATAATCTTACTGGTCACTATATGTTATATACGATGCATGTTATAATATAACTGGTCACTATATGTTATATACAATGCATGTAATAATTAACTGGTCACTATATGTTATGTACACTGCATGTAATGATCTTACTGGTCACTATATGTTATATACAATGCATGTAATAATCTAACTGGACACTATATTGTATATACAGCATATGTAATAATCTAACTGGACATTATATTGTATATACAGCATATGCAGTAGTTATACAGCATATGTATTAATCACACTGGTCACTATACTTACGCATCTTCATCCAGGAGCGAACTTCCGTCAACAGGATCGATCTTGACTGGACAATAATCCCAGAGAATGGGAACGATACCGATATAGTATGTGCGAGTTATACCAAGTAGACCTGGTGGTACTCCGTCCTGTAGACTCACGTATCCTGTTCCAGTAGTCATCATTACATTATACCAAGCATACATGCCTTCATATGTTAGACTTATCTGACCATCTCGTATCAACAAGTGACCTATTTGTATAGTGAATAGTTATAAATAAGTTTACCTGTATAAATACACTTAACTTGTTTGTGAATGATATAATATCATTTTTAGAATAACACTTTCCTATTTTATCAGAAAAACTATATAAAAATCAATATAATAAATTGTTCTGCGTATTCATGTATTTCAAACTAATACTATAATTCTGTCCGTGAGACAAAGAAAGTTCTACTTGAAAAAACGAAATTTCTTTAGAATGCTAATCATAATGATTGCAAATTAATTCAAAAATGAGCTCTTTTTTGTCACGCTGACTGTGAGTTATTTGCTGAAAACCTGAGTTTTTAAATATATTTACACTTGATAAAATTGAATACAAAACGCTGTTAATGTAACGTACTAGAACAATGTACTTATTAGTAATGCATAATCAAAAAACAACTCTGAAATATAGTGTATAAAATGTTCATTTTATCAGAATTATTCTGGAAAGGAACTGTGTTTTAATTTGCGTTTAGCTAAAATGGATAAAAACGTTTATTTGACATTTCAAACCAAACGTTTCTATAAGTGTGCATAAAGATATAGTTATATCCACTTTCATCTCGAATTTATCATTTAACAATTTCAGTTCTTGCACTTTACGATTTATCTTCTTCACACCTACACGAATTTATAAGTTTTATTTATAAACTGATAAATGATTTTACAATGCCTCGAATGATTTTATGATTTTTGTAACTTTCGTCTTTATTTGTTCACAAATTCATATTTTCACGATCTTACATGGTAAACTGGTTAATTTTCACAATTTTGGGAGGAACATTAATTTAAAATTTCACTTTCAGTTTTTCTAAAATAAATTATAAAACTGACATGATAGAAACAGCGCTTACCATTTTGATCAGGAATCATGATGAGGGATTGGCCAGTCCCAGGATATACTGAAAACGTATCTAAATTTCGACCATCAACATTGAATGCGTTACCCTCAAATACAACATGGTGATGATCAGTCTGACCTCCGGAGCCATATATATGCCACGCAACAATGTCTCCAAGATACATATCTAAACCTTCAAGTGTGCCGTATGTCCTCCCATTGATGGCTAAATAATATGATATATCAAATGCTTGTATTTAATGTATATGCTTATTTACTTCATTTTAAAGAAAGCAATGTTGTGGTAAACTGCTTCTAACTGTAGAGTTTTGATACTACGAGTATGTATAAAAACGTTCTCTATCAAACCAAAACAGGTGACTGATGTTAATGAAACTTTTCATAGCAGTTTCTTGTTTACGGGCAGTAACTGACTTTAGAACATTGACCTGGTGCTGACTTAAGAGTTGGCATAAAATGAATGAAACACCCAGCATAGACACATCTGGTGTTTAATCACTAAGCAGATGCTTCAAAGGATTCCACTGATGTTTTTTTTGTTTTTACACTAAATGACTGCAATCTTTTTTCAAGACTTGTGCACCATTTCATGTGGGTCTGAAGACATTCTCTCTCTCCATTTACCCAGAATAACAATTTTAATTATGCAAAATGACCAATTAAAAAAATAAAAACGTTGCAAAGCTTTTCACTGAACCCGGCCTCAAATCGTGCAAAATTCGATTTTAACTATTAAACTGTAAACATATTTCTTTAATATCTTTTACAGATTTTTACTATTTTAAGTAAATCACTTGATCTTTGCTAAAATTTAAAATATTTTATGTTTTTAGACTTTTGGACCTTATTGGAGTTCCTTCAATTAAAGTCTCCAAAATACATATTCATATAAAATACAAAATAATGTATACATCATATTGTTAATAATATTTTCATATATATTATTCATATTTGTATGTACATTATGTAATGCATCAAACCTCTCATTTGATTAGACAACTGGAAGTCCTCATCATTCTTATCAACAGCAGCTGTTATAAATGTAGCGATATTTTCATCAATGTACCAAGACAAGTTTTCATCAAAAATCATCCAGTGTAAATAGAACTCCCTATCCACTCCAATCTAAACAAATATGAACACGACAATACATTTAAAGAAAACAAATGAACAAAATTGGATACTGTTAAAAAATTGTATCTTACGAAATTTTTTTATCAGACTTGTTTAACGTTATTGCATAAAATCCTCAACGTGAAAACCAATATCTTTAAAGAGGTTTTAAAATGTTTTTAGAGATAATAACTACCTGTGCAATTTAGCATTTTGATAACCAAGATTTATTATTATCTAATTAAAAGTTGCAAGTATCAAAATACTAAAGTCCTTTTGCAAACAAAATGCCTATATACAAAAAATAGTGACCATTTAAAAGTTATCACTCAAAGATGTTATATAATCGTACCAAGCTTCCGTCATCCGCAAGAGTTCTGTCTTTACATACAAGCAAAGGACCAATTAGACCTGTATGTATATCTTTATTAAAGTCAACGGCAGAATTATACATATACACGACACAATCTTCGTTATGAGCTAATGGTGCTGCTTCTACTGGAACATCAAACTCGTATGTCTTCACTTCATTTGGAGGAACAACCAAACCACTTAGTACTAGAAACATATAATATCATTTCTCGTTTGCTAGTTCCCATTTTATTTAATTGAATATAAACCTTAAAGTTTATTTATTTTTATTTTTAACTGTATTTTTATTTATCTACATTGTGTTTATTTATTTTTACTGTTTTAGGGAGTGAGTCGAGGGAGGAGCTTAAGGTCTCTTCTTTTGAAGACAACCTTAGACATTCAAATGTCGGTATCAGACAAAAATATACCTCTAACACTTACTCACTATCTTTAAGTTATTGAAAACGTGTTTTCTTAAGGCAAGGGAATTTTCTAAGCAAAAGCATACCTGACAGCTCATTATTGTAAACCATCCCTTCATTCGATTTTGTCATTGCTACTCCATTAGCTTGAAAAGAGAAAGTTCTGTCAGCAAAGTTTTTAACGTGTACAATAACATGATCACCAACATGACATTTTATTGGTGGACCTGCCAAACCCCAATGCACCTCGCGATCTTTCTTTGTACCGAATGTTCCGTCTGTGTATTCAACAAATACCGCCTTTTTATATATACTTCCAATACGATTTGTATCGTTTTGAAGAAAAATCTCGGAATCACTGCAAAAGCAAAATCAGATAAGAAGTCAAAACTTTAAATAGGCAAAAAAACATTGAATGTGTGGGTTTTCATAATAACGGATGTGCCTGATTTATAAAACAAGCAACTAGAGATTACTCAATATGGTTCAGGCTGTAACGCCTTCTTGTACGTTTTGAACAAAAGCACATACTTACTGTATATCAAATTTGATGTGAATATAAAATATTAAATACTATACAAATGGTGATAAGCAGAACACTAATCATTGAATCACTGGGGAAGTAAGTGGCTTGTTTTCTGCTTCCAAATACCAATAAGTTGATGAATGAACCACATTATTTCATTCAAAGACCTTTCTCAGTTTTAATCATTTGATCATGTGATTTAATTAGAATATGTTCTTACTCAAATTTAAAACGTACGCTTTTGACAAAATTCTAAGATTGTGATACTAATAATATGCAACTTGTAAAACGTGAGGCTAGAGGTATCTGAAAATCGTTCTACATCAAAAACCCAACAACTATATTTTAATAAGTTATATATATAGTCTGGCGAGTGTTGTTAACATCTTTTTTCTTTTGAAAACTACGTGAAATCTACCAATGTCGTTTCTAGTCAATACTTTGAAAATGGCACACGTTTCTTAAAATGTTAGCCACAACTATTGTACACAAAATTAATAACCATCATTATGAAAATTAGTGACAGCAAAATTTAGATTGGAACTGTAAAATCTCTCTCTCTTGGAAGAAAAGATATGAATTATTTCCAGCTTTACTTACAGATGAGTGACATCTTCTGGTGCGTAATCCCAATAAACGTTTTCAATTGCAAGAAAGTAAGTCCGAATATTTTCACCATTTCCAGTATTTGTACAAATGTTGCCCTGTCCTTGACAAGGCTGTATGTCAAAAAATGCTTGCATTCCATCTGAAGATAAGAAAGATATGAGCCGCGTCACGACAAAACCAACATAATGGGTTTGCGATCAGCATAGATTCAGACCAGCCTGCGCTACCGCGCAGTCTGATCAGGATACATGCTGTTCGCTGCAAGTAGAAAAACTGATAGCGAATAGCATGGATCCTGATCAGACTGCGCGGATGCGCAGGCTGGTCTGGATCCATGCTGGTCGCAAACCCATTATGTTGGTTTTGTCATGACACGGCTCATATATATATACAAGTGATAAACATGCAATTAAACAAAAGCAGGATTTCTTTACATGTTTACTTCACAGTGATATATGAAGTGATCAATACTTGCATGTCACAATACTGAAAAATATGATGCTGTTGTTTTTCAAAACGTTTATGATATAAATAAATTTTAGAAGTAAACAAGATCCATACAATAATATATATTGAAAAAAAAAACTGACAAACCTTTATCAAAGAATTATGAAAGTGAATAAGAGAAATAGAACCAACTTTTACCTAAAAATTACAGATTCTTTTTGAAAGGAGCATTAAAAGCAGCTGAAAGTCAGCGAAAAGTAAAAAAAATATCTATCGTTGACTGGCATCAAGTTTAAGTACACGCAAGATAACCAATGACCCTTGACATGAAAATGTAAAGGTACTAGCAATATTTTAGTACTGACACACACCTTGATGAAAAATATTTAAAAACAAATGACATAAATAACAAAACGTTGGAAAATGTAAAATGAAAATGTAATCGATATAACTGTATTTATAACATGAGTACCGTCAAAGAACTCCTGATTTCTGGTATAAATAAGCCAGCGTCCTACATTTACCGGTGTCATAAAGCCAGAATAAACGCTCGCGGGATGCAGGTCAACGGTATCCGTTCTAAAATAAATTAAAAGTAAATAAGATAGATTTTTCTCTTCTTAACTGCATTCTGTAAAGCTGTATAACACTATATGTCACTGCACTTTTCTGAATATTACCAGGACGGATTTTACTTAAATTTCTAGAAATGCAAGTGAGACTATTTGTGATAAAATAAAACCTCAAGTTTTCAATTTCCATTGTCTGTCCGCTGATGTGTACTGTATGTATTCCACGCTGGATGGACATGAAATACCAAACAACATTTTCCCCCTCATATGCCGGGAAAGCTGGACCATTGCCAAACACATATCCATTTATATGAGCCATTTCGTTACTCTTTGCAAAATCATCGTCTCCATCGTCCTAAAAAGATTTTATACTAGTTTTAATCATTAAAAAAATCAACTCGTATCGGTGCAACAAATCTAGAAACTTTCATTTCCTGGTTTTAAAAGTGTCGGATCAAACATCCCTGGTTATTTCTTGTTATTTAGACACTCATACATGTGGTGTATTAAAAAAATAATAAGAAAACGGAACACTGCAAAGTATACAAGTTTTTTATAAATAAATAGTACCTTAATTTATAAACATTAAATTCAGCAATATTGCAAAATGTTATGTTGCCAATACTAATGATTTATAGATATTGCCTGTTCATTGTAAAACAACACTTATCTATCTGTTAAAAAAACACCTCTAACCTACTTTAACTGAAACGGATAAATAAAGAGTAATGCAAGATTGCACAACCGTGCAGTCTGACTAGAATATAACTTTAAATATTCATTTGATATCACCGAAACTAATAATGTACTATTCCAACGGAAACTACTGAACCGGTTCATCAGTTTAGGTTATAAACTGTTAAATGCAAAATCTATTTTTCGTACTTCCGTTTTCTCAAATTGACAAAGTGACGTCATTTGTATTACAGATGTGTCTGACATTTTAAAGGATTTACTGATATTATTACATTGTTTGAGGGGGGTGTTGTTGTTCTTCTTCTTATTATTTTATTTTTATCATCATCATCATCATCACCATCATCATCATCATCATCATCATCAACAACATCACATTGATTTGTTATTATTGCAATACTCCATGTAAGGTAACCATTAGAAAAAAAAACCAGAACAAATCTTGATGCGTACAAATATTATTAAAAGGCATGTGTTAAATGAAAGAAAAAGTAAATATTTTTTTACAAAAAGACTCTGGCACAATGCCGGATTTCCGCATTTCTGCAAGTTGTGCTCAATATACCAACTGTTGCCCTCTATCATAAGATCTGCATACATGTATAATTCGCGGTCTACGTCCTTGCGATTGCCATTTTTATCGAGAGTCCCTTTAATAAATCAAAAATATTCATACATACAACAATAATAGTCTTTATCATTTCATTGTTGTTTTTTTTTCATATTTAACCAACAATATCAACAAAATAAAATAAGAATGCAAATGTGTCATCATAACATAACTGCCCACCAATCTTAAGCAGATTCTCATCGATACCCAAATTACATTATATCACGCAGCAAAAACGTTCAACATTGACCATTGACTTTCTACTTTCTAAAAAAATCTTGATATAATGACGCAATTAATACTGACAAAAGGTAAAGTACAGTAAAAAAATCCTCAATAAAGATCGCCATCGGGACTGGACCAAAGTGGTCTTAATTGCGGGGTGGTCTTAATTGTGGATATTCTTATTATTGATGACACACGTTATGATCAGGGCCTAATTAGTCATTTTGTATGAACAAACAATAAGTATTTTAACCTGCAAATACAATATGAAAGTATGTCTGATGGGAAGAAAACATATTTCTGAAGAATTTCTATATCAAATTTTCTTTGTTCTGATTTCAATAGTAATTATTGTATGGTGTACATAATTCACATATCATATCAGACATTATTTTGTCACAAAACAAATGTTCATAAAGCAACATTAAATCACTGTGAAATCAACATTCTCAACTTTTTCGTTAAATATCCCATAAATAACATTTTTGACACCTTGTGTAATCAAGTGTTATGCCTAAGAGCAATCAAACAGATAATAGCAACACATTTAAGATCTAGGAAGGTGTTGATTTTAATATCAGTGGTTTCAATAGTGAGGTCAAATAAAGAACAAAATAATGAATTGTGGTCTTAAAAGTGGATAAGTGAGGTGGTCTTAATTCTGGATCATGTAACCATTGACATAAAGAACAGAAACTTCTGTTCTTTTAAAAACTGGTCTTTAAAGCGGGGTGGTCTTAAATCCGAGGTGGTCTTAAGTAGGAATTATACTGTAGTAATGAATATCTAAAATTTACGATCCTAAGAACTAATCATTTAATTATTCATATTGTCCAAGAAAAGTATATAAAACAGTTTTCTTTACCTTGATTGCAGATAAGAGCAACACCAAACAGTCCAGTGTCTACATCAAACCCAGCACGGACGTGAGAGTGGTAGGTGAAAGCAGCACAGTGATCATGAAAATCGTTACTGTCTGGTTTGTGCAGCTTGCTGGCTATCCAAACGTAAGTAAAGTTTTCACCAGGTAAGATACCGTTATCCTCTATATCCGTCCCGCTAGTTCCATCTAAATATGTTGCCCCTAGTATATAGATTACAAATTAACGATAAAATGATGCTATATCAGGAATAAAATTGTATGATAATCATTCTATTATGACACTTATTTAGACATCAGTAATGTGCATTTCTAACTTTTTATAATGTTAATTGCCTGAAGGCAACTGGGTGTTATTCTTATTAATGCAAGAGACCACGAGTCAAAGAAATTTGCACTGTTACATGGATAACACAGTACTTTAAAACTAAAAGGAGATGCCACAAAATCATGCCCCATGTCTCACAATCGTTGTCCCATTATTGTACTTTTCTCTTGCGTATCAATAAGATAGGTGTTTCCGTTAGTTGTACACATGCTGGAAATTTTATCCGGCATAGGGGTACTAGAAAAATCTAGTTCTTATAGTTTGGCATCATTTGGCCTATTGGAAAATAGTAACGGATGAAATGTGATTAATTGCTATGATGTAATTGATTTATTGAGGTAAACTGTTTACAATATGGTAGAATATACAAAAATAATTATCTAACATTGTGCCTGTGGTTCGGATCGGAATATCGACCACATAGGCAAGTTTCGTTACCACCTAATGGGCAGGTACCCTCGGGACGAATATTCCGATCCGAACCGCAACATATGACATATACCAGTATAAACAATATTTTTCTTTTGAAAAGCAAAGTATCATTTATATCTAAAAATGCAATAATTCATGTAGTATATTTTATTTATAATACCTTCATTTCCCTTCAAGTAGAATAAGCCATGTGGATGCATGCTGAAACGTCTATTGATATTTAGAGCGTTATTACGGAAATGGACATACACGGTGTCACCTACGGTGCTCTTAATAAGAGGTCCACAGAATCCGGCCCAGTCAGGCGCCGGTTTAAGCACGGAGTAACTGTCATCAGTATATTCCCGGTAAATAAGTTTTGTATATATACTCCCGATCCTGTCATCACGGTTTTCAATAAACTCGAACGCAGCACTGTTAAGAAATATCAAAACATCAGTGTATGATGATGGTATTATTTTTTTAATATGCTTAAAGATTCTGTATGTTATTGACTTATTGTTATGGTGGTAACAATGATGGTGGTGTTGGAAGTTTTCCCTCCGGATCACGACAGTTAGCACAGTTCAACCAATGCATCTTTTCTGGGCAGCCTGTCAAGCTGTTTACCACTACTAGTTGCTTTCACTTTCGCAAGGAACTGAAACTTCTGTACAAGCTAGTGCAGAGGTACAGTGCAAATGACCGTAGAAAGAATTTCATTATCAATCACATTCGAAAAATTGGCTGGGACTTTATAGGAAATATTATAAATAATATTTTTATTATTATTTTATTACCTCCCTTTATTTACATGAAATAAATTTGGTAACATTTTTACAAATAATGAGCATCATTACCATAAACAATTTGCGTAACAGGATCTTTCCAGGCACATTATCCATACGTTTTAGTCTTTAGAAATAACAAACGTTTGTTCAATAATGTTTAAATAATGGATTAATAGAAATTAAGATGTTTTACAACTGGAAAAAGCTGAACATGCAGCTATGTGTCATAAAAATGCAAAATGTAAAGAAAAAAGTATTTTCACTTTCATACAAAAAACTTTTTCCGTATAATTATACCAATGTTAACAAAACTGACGATGCAAAAAAATCGTGTATATTGCAAAAGATTACGTTTTAGGGAAACTGGTACAAGATACCAAAAATAAAAGGTTTTTGAGAAAAAAAGTGATAGTACTTTTGAGACATAATGGGCCTTTAACATGTTATCACAATACAGAAAATGTATTATGACAGGTTTGCTCAAGCAAAATCTTTGATATCGTTTTATATATTTTTTTCTACGAAAAATAACTATTATTTTATTTAAATTCAATAAACTTCGCATTTAAATCGACGAATAACAAATAAATTGGTGAAAAACTTATCTGAACAACACCAGTTGACGACTACATATCTAATCTATATATCTTAATATTTTGTGGTTTTATCACAATTTTTTTAAAGCATTGATAATCACTTCAAATAATATCACCATATCTCTAATCACAAACATACTGCTAATAATCATTGATTTAACATCAATAAAAAAAATAATCAAGGCTATTTTGAATTAAAAAAAAGTAACAAGAATAAAGGCTTACATCATAGCAAATTTATTTTCACACTTGATTGTCTTAAAGGCACGTTACGCCTAAGAAATCGATAGTTTTGAATTCTTTGTAAAGATCAAACATGTGTTTATCGATGTTTAAACAATGGATTTATAGCATATTAAATATTAACCAACGAAATACAAGAGAGATGAATGTGCTATTATGTGTCTTAGCAGCTGTAGCATAATGTTAACAAAGAACTATTTTGACTTCCATACTAAATACTAATTCACTATACCGATTGTCCACATAGCAAAAGAAGCAAAAGACAGCAAATGAGCGTGTTGTTGTTGTTGTTGTTGTTGTTGTTGTTGTTGTTGTTGTTGTTGTTGTTGTTGTTGCATAATGTAACAAGATTTTAAAAAATAAAAAAAGGTATTGGGATTTAAAGTTGATATTTTTTCTATAAATGCAGGATTTATTTTCATCTAGTAGTATGAAAATAAATATTCATGAGTGAAGGTAGCCACGGGTGAAATATGATGAATTTCATACCACAAAATGAAAATAAATCCTGTATTATAAAAAAAGAGAATTTTCCTTTTTATTTTGTACATTTTCCCCTTTTTTGACATTACAACTGAAAGGTTTCCCCTTTAATTTTGTGTATTGGCTAAATTTAGAAGAAAATAGTTCAGCAAGACACCAGTGAAAATACGGAATATATGTTTCGATGATTGCAATGAAAAATAATTTTTTACATTGAAAATACGGAAAATCAAAATTGGTTCGCTATGGCCGAAAATTCGTTTTAAGCGAGTACATATTTAGCGATGTGCTTTAATATAAGATAAAGAAGGAATCGGTCGGTGATGTCAGACTTAGTTCGTTATTAACGATAATTCGTGATAATTCGTTATAAGCGAGTTCGTTACAAGAGGAGTTGACTGTACGTATTTATTTTATTTCATTAATATTTCTCAATATTTCATTTATAAGTATAATTATAATATCCTGGTTTTTTAATCAGGTAATAAGGTTCTATTACGACAAATCCATTTATCATATTATCATGATAACATATCTATTGTGTCATTGCTATTATGAGGGGACCAATCACATTACTTTTACAAATAGAAAAAAACTCAACGTTTTCGATGGATTTTAGTTCATAAATTTAATCACATTTGTTTGTTGTTTTTTGTGGTTTTTTTTAATCACATAATCTTGAAAAGTGCTACGTACGACTTTATAACTCCTACGTAGGAGATATAAAGCCTAAATAGGAGTTTATAACTACGTAGGACTTTATAAAGCTTACTCAGGATATAAAAAAAAACTAATAAGGAGTTTAAGCAAATCTTGATGCTCATATGAATGAATGAATGAGTGAGTGTTAAGTGCTACGTAGGACTTTATAAATCCTACGTAGGAGATTAAAAGCCTAATTAGGAGTTTATAACTCGTGCGGTGTAAAATTTCTTACGTAGGAGGGTTTAAAAAGCCTAATTGGGAGTTTTGTATCTCCTACGTAGGACTTTATAAGAAATGCATACAGAATGCTTTGCAAATCTCGACAGTCCGAACGGAATATCGGCGATGGAACAAGACACTTAACTCCCCTCCTCCCACCCCCCCCCCCCCCCCCGAAATTTAAAATGTTAAATATTGAGGACCACATCACCTTTCGATACAGTGTCTCAGGTTTCTTGAGTACAAAGTGTCTTGGGGTGAGATGTCTGTAAGCATTGGCGATGTATCCCGAAAAATTGTTTCAGAGCTCTTCGAAAACCTTACTCGACAATAAGCATTTAAGTGTCTTAAATGTGAATTTACAAATTTCTAAAAGGCTTTAAAGATTACATTTACCATTCGAACTAGCTGAACAAAACAAACAATATATCTATTTTCGGTCGTTTCGAATAATTACATGTAAATCCTTATAGGGGCAGGAAGAGGGGGTCGAAGTATCTTGTTCAAGCTCTGGAAAGTTGCGATTTGCGAAGCATTATGCACGCCCAAGTTAAAAAAAAGAATTATATACTACTTTGAACAAAGTTTAACCCATACATTGTTTGTATAATCAATATAACTAAACGTACATAATACAAAATCATCGATTTATATATGTAGACAATGAAATTCAATTTTCGGAACTAGTTGTATTGCTCAAAATAATTCAGATTATTGAGTTCTGGTTATTTCGCTCAAAATCATCTCTGGCTACATAATAAGGGTATTTACTAAAACGGCTTGTCACAATTACAATTTAACACATCTAATTTATTTTCCTACATAATATGCTATCCTAAGTTATACTCTAGCATACAAGACAAGACAAGACAATTTGTTTAAGTCTCACTTTTGTTCATACAATAACAAAATATAACAAAGTTATAAAAGAAATACGTGTACAAAGCCACTATAAAAGAGTTATGAGAGACTAAGAATATCAGATGGAATTTCACGTAAGTACCTTGATCTTGATCTTGTAAAGTAATGTATGCACATGTACATTCATTGTGTTTTGAATATGTATTTTGTTTGAATGTACCTTGTTTTTTGTTGTTGTGTTTTTTTGTTTTTTTTTTTTTTTTTTTTTTTTTTTTTTGTTTTTTGTTGTTTCATTACATATAGTAGCATTTTGTGTTTTCATGTATGTTATTTGAAAATTTCGCTGTATAACCATGATGTAAAAATAGTATTTATATTTTATGTTTGAAGGCCCCCACATGGAAAAGATTGGTAACCAAATGTGGTAGCCTCAGTAAATTTAAAGACCTTACTTACATACTCACTCACTCACTCACTCACTCACTCACCAACTCACACACTCACTCACTCACTCACTCACTCACTCACTTACTAAGAACATAATCATAAATAAAAAAAAACATTTAAAACAATATTAAAATATAAAAAAATTGTTAAAAGCTCAAATATGTGATTGCATTAAAATTTATATTAAACATATAAAACAAACACATTCTAACTAGTATTTAAATTTTAACTATGATATATGAGTACAGACTACAGAGTAACTAACAACTTGCGCCTCATACATAATATATCAAAGCAGGCTTTGGCAGAATATTTTACAATATTTTCATTTGATAGCAAATATATGAATTTCTCATTATCTCTTTACATTAAAAATCTGTCGTTTGTTTTACATATGTCAATATAAAGCGCCTCTCTAATTTGCGAATAAAGTGGAAATTAAACAAGGACATGCAGCTCATCTTCAATTTCATAACTACAATTAAAACATATTATCTCATTAAATGGTAAAGCATACATGTCCGTCGCACTCTGTGCTTTCAGAACTATGATATGTTTCCTGCGTAGGAGTAATAAAGTCCTAATAACGCTTTTTATCTCCTACGTAGGAGTTATTTAGTCCTACGTAGGAGTTATTTAGTCCTACGTAGGAGTTATAAACTCATAAACTCATAATTAGACTTTTTTATCTCCTACGTAGGAGTTATTGCGTCCTACGTAGGAGTTATAATGTCCTATGTAATAGTTATAAACTCCTAATAAGGCTTTTTTTATCTCCTACCTAGGAGTTATCTTTTTTATATAACATGTTAAATTGGCAACGGGACGCTTCCGTACAAAAGTGGTAATAGTATTGCAACGCATATATACTAGTTTGGTCATAAAACATTTAGTCACATAAATACATCTGTACTTAACAAGATATCATGACGATCATAAAATATTTCAACGAGCAAAAGATTTTATAGCAACATATGTTATCATAATTATTGTTTCATCACGTTGTATTTTTTTTCTATCGTTACAGATTTTATCCCTATAGAGTATACACATTTGATCACAATAAATATCTTACCAATAACTTATTAGT